ATTCTCTGATGGTCTAGTCCACTGATTCCCAGCTTTCCAGCACCCTAGTGTTCCGGGCACTTGAACAACTCAGTATTCATTGAGCTTTCACATACGGTGGGCACTCCTACAGGCACTGGGGACAAAGCAGTCAAGAAAACGAACAAAAATCCCTGCCACCACAAAACTTACGTTGTAAATTAAGTAACATATATAGTGGTAAGTGCTAAGGAAAAAAAAAAAACTTGAAAAGTCAGGATAGGACAAAAGAAAGAAACCGCAGGAAATGGGTGGGGTTGAACTTGTAGACAGGATGGCCAGGGACGGAGTCCTAGAAAGAGGTTATGTGAGCAATGACCTAAAAATGTGAGAAGCCCTGCCACACATTAGCTCTAGAGCTAGTTACTCAACTTTTCTGTTCCTCAGTGTCCTCATCTCAAAAATGGGTATAATAATAGCAGCCTGGGGTCTTAGATTAGCTCCGAAGTGTGGAAAAGAGTGACTGGTATTCAGAAGCGCTGGGTAAGTTTCTAATAAAACAGAGACGAAGACTGAGTTGGGGGTCAGAGAAGCTGAATAAACAGAAGCTTAGTTTTGAAGTAAGCTAATTTTGGGGGAAAAAATCTTCAAGTTTATAAATAGGCAGCCTGCAGTTCAAGGGTTGGGGCTGGATGGAGATCACTTAATTAATCCTAAGCCTACACCCAGTATTTAAAACTGAAATAAATTAGTAATTGTAAAAGAGTTTGTTCTTGTTGTTTTTCTTTTTATCCTCAAATGGCTTTGCAAAACACTGAGTTAAACAAGAGACTCAAGTTTTTTGGTATTTTTGTTGTTGTTCCTAGACATCTTGGAACTGATGTACACATTAACATTAGTCATGAGTCTCCAAGATAGGGACCACAGACCTCTTCGATCTTCGATTAGGAGTGTTTAGAAGAGTACTGTTGCATAGAACGTGGTTTAGGCCATACTGAACGTGTTCTAGTACTGCCTGAAAAATCAGTTAATTCTTGCAAATCAACAGAACTTCAAAACTCACAAAACTTTCAAAATTCTACAAAACTGACTGGTTCATTGTTTCATAGTCATAGTTTTGTATCCATAGAAAAGAACTAAGCAAATTGTAGATGTGAATACTGTTTTGTAAGCAATGTGATAGTTTGCTTTTAACAATTTTCCTCCCAAATTATCTGCATATCGGAATCCTGTGTAGAGCTTCAGAAGCAGACGGATACCTGTGTCCTACCTCCAGAAATTGTGATCTCATTGGTTTGGGCTATGGTCAGGGCATCGGAAGTTTTAAAATGTCTGCAAGTGAGTCTCATATGCAGACACTTTAGAGAATCTCTTTTGGACATCATCTATTCTCTGCCCCTTATCTATAACCTTTTTTTTTTAAAAGATTTTATTTATTTGACAGAGAGAGACACAGTGAGAGCGGGAACACAAGCAGGGGGAGTGGGAAAGGGAGAAGCAGGCTTCCCGCCAAGCAGGGAGCCCAATGTGGGGCTCGATCCCAGGACCCTGGGAAAATGACCTGAGCCAAAGGCAGACGTTTAACGACTGAGCCACCCAGGGGCCACTCTTATCTATAATCTTTAAAAACCATTTCTTTCTTTGGTTAATTAAGGGTCCTTATTTGGATCATGAACAGGTGGCTTATTCATCAAATGTTTATGTGCTTAGTATTTGTTGCCATATCATTGTGATATCATGCTGATACTACTAATTTTCAACACAAATGAATAGTGTAAGAGAAGTCTGCTTTTAAAAGGTAAGTGGATATTTAGGTTAACTTAATTGATAAAATTCAAAAACTAAATTATTAATAACATCTTTAACTGATATAGTCTCTAAAAACATCTAAGAGTCTTCAGCCAAGATACAAAATTTTATCAAAATCGGCTAGTACCGTTTATAATCCTTTAGACTTTGGCCTTACGGGATGGCAGTGTTCATGAACACTACGCCCTTCAAGAGCCACAGAACTTCTTGTGAAAATCCAAATGCCTTCGAGAATGGTGTGAATCTGTGATAATCAATTAAATCAACTACTATTTATTGAACACATACCAGGTACTGCTCTCAGCACTGGGGATAGGTGGGTCAAGTAAGAAATCCCTACTCTTACCAGTTTATTACATTATAGTAGAGGGAGACGATGATAACAGGTAAAACAAACAAACAAATAATATAGTTTCAGAGACTGATGAATGATTTAAAGACAAAGCAGGGTGAGGTGATAGAAAATGCTAGAAGGCAAGGCGGGGCGGGGGGGCAGTGGTTGCTAGGGTGGTCAGACACCTCTCAGAGGAGGTGACCCTTGAATCCTCAGGGTGAAGGGAGTGAGGAGACCATGGGAAGATCTGCGACAGAGTCACCTGTGCCGTGGGAGAGTCAGAGCAAAAGCTAGCAAGGGAGCAAACATTCGATGCATTTAAGATGCAGAAGAAAGCTAGGGATAACAGAGCGAGATGTAGAAAGCGAGCAACAGATGAGGTCAGAGAGGCAGGCAAGACCAAGGCAATAAACGCTAGCACCTCACAGGCCGCAGTAGGGGTTTTTTTGTTGTTGTTTGTTCCCCTTTTTTCTTGTTGTGTTTTTTTTCCAAAGTGTTCTAGAAAGCCATCGGAGGCTTTCCCTGGAAAGCGCAATGGCCTACTTTACATTTAAAGCGATAAATTTGGGCTGATATCTGAAGAGTGGTAAATGGTAGCAGGGCAAGGGGAAAGCAGGAAGGCAGGAAAGGAGAGCCATGGTTTGGGCAAGAGCTGATGGTGGGGGAGAGAGGCCGAGTCAGATGGTGAGAGCTCCCATGCAGAAGATGGGTGGATGCAATCAGGAAAGAGGATTTGCTAGGGGAGCCTTGCTGGGAGGACACTTAACTCATACAAACAGGGAATCAAAAAGTTACAGTCAGAAAAGTTTCAGAATCCTAGGTTAAAGCTAGAGCTAAAGCAATAATTAATGATCTTTTTAAAAAAAAGATTTTATTTATTTGACAGAGAGAGACACCGCGGGTGAGGGAACACAAGCAGGGGGGAGTGGGAGAGGGAGAAGCAGGCTTCCCGCTGAGCAGGGACCCCGATGTGGGGCTCGATCCCAGGACCCTGGGATCATGACCTGAACCGAAGGCAGACGCTTAACGACTGAGCCACTGAGGCGCCCCAATTAATGATCTTTATATAGAAATTATTTCCTATGTAACCGAGAAATACCTTCCTTTATTAAGCCATTCTCTTTTATACAGGAAAAATAGCTTTTAATAACTGGAAACCTGAGTTAGCCTGCCTTTTCTTCAATCTTAGGCTGTTTTAAAATCTTCAGGAGCCAGAATCACCAAAATGATAGCTTTCAGGAAAACTGTCTGTAAGAAATTGTGATAGGCATAGCAATTTAAGGTTACCCCAGCGATGAATAATTTGACCAGAAGTTATGTTTGGAGCAGTGAGAATTCTTCTGTCACTTTGGGCTACTTACCCCGATGTCTGGATTGATGACTTTTCTACTTGCAGGGGTAGGGGTGAGAGGGCTCACTCTCCTCGCCATCATGTTCTGTTATCATCCCCTAGTCTCCCCTGCCTGTTCCGTCCTGCTCCTCTCCCACACACCTCTGGACTGATCCGCATCACTCAGAGCATCTGAGGTAGCGGGGTGGGCGTAGTTTGACTAGTACTCCCACCCTCATGGTAGTCGTTGTAAATGAACATAATAATAAAGCACCTAGACTGTGGAGCCACAGTGCATTGGGTTCGGATTCTGTCCACTAGTTATGAGCATAGTGATTTGGTAACATCTTTCATCTTTCTAAATCTCCATGCCATGCCCTCATCTGTAAATTGTAATGATTCCTAACATCAGGTGAGGTTAATTGAGATTTTGAATGTAAAGCACCAGACTATAGCAGATGCTGAATAAGGGATAGCAATCATTAATTACAACTGCATTTCCCCCTGTATATCTTTGATTCAGTAGTTTTCATATTTTTAATATAATATTTTCAGAGCAAAGGCATTCAAATCAAACTGCCTGGATTTAAATCAAAGCTCTACCACACAGAAGCTTTGTGACCTGGGATACATTTTTGAACCTCTCTCACTTTGTTTCCTTATCCATGAACTGGTTAAAATATAGTTATCGACGCCATTGGATTTAGTGAGTATTAAGAAGCATAAGGTATAGAAAGAATACACGAAGGCATAGTACTTGGCACATATAAGTACTATTTTATAAGTCAAATACTGTAAACAATAATCTCTCAATTCCTTATTTCAAAATTATAGTTAAAAGCTAAAGCATTTTGTCTTGATTTTCTGTTTTCTTTCTTCATAAATCTGATAAATTTGTATAATCTGAACCAGGGTGTTGTTTAAAATGAGTAGTTCATTTATTGGTCATAAAATGAGATTTCTGTATTATCTGCTTAATTGGTCCATGTAGGTAATCATATTGGCTTATTTAGCACCTCCAAGTGAAACTCAATTATTTTGTTTGCCTGTCTGAGAAAGAGCAAACTAAAACTTTGTCAAAGTTAATTGTCAAATGTATTTTCCTTCTAAGTTGAATGTTTACTGTTTTTCCCTGACGTCTTTTTCCTGACATTTTTGTTTATCCTGCTCACCCCTCTTTTTCTTTTTCATTTCTTTTGATATATCTCATTTCCAATTCTACTTCTTTTTCAGTTCCTCACTGATAAAAACTTAATACTAGCAATAAGTAAAAGCTGCTGTTAAAAGTTGAGTAAGTTTAATTTTCAAATAGAACTTGCTGGGTTTTTCCATTAATCCTTGATATTATTTCCAATAGGATCATTCCCTACCATTCCCAAATTGGTAGTCTTGAGCAAATAACTGATTATTCATGAGAAAGGCTATGGTGCTGATGGTGTAAGGTTTATTATTGTTTATTAATTATGCTGGTAACATCACTTTTGTTGTTGGCATTAATCCGGTAATAATACTAAGCTGTTATATGAACTTTACCTTGTTTTATTAGTGGGGCTTTCTTTCGTTTTATAGCCGGCTTAAGTCCTGCTGAGATTCAGCAGTTATGGAAAGAAGTGACTGGAGTTCACAGTATGGAAGACAATGGCATTAAACATGGAGGGCTAGACCTCACTACTAACAATTCCTCCTCGACTACCTCCTCCACCACTTCCAAAGCATCACCACCAATAACCCATCATTCCATAGTGAATGGACAGTCTTCAGTCCTAAGTGCAAGGCGGGACAGGTAAATCTCATGAGATTTATTCTATATTTATCTGTCATGAACTTTTACTTCCACCATGCATAAAACTGAAGATTATGATTTGTACTTAACAGGGGCAGAGTGTATAGGACAAATTAAATAGAAACCTTTAGATTATTTATCTTATATATTATTTCCATTACAGAAAGTGGTTCAAATACTTGCAGTTTGATGGATTTGGTGGGGAATTTGCCTGAAGAAAGTTATTTTTTAATAAGTGCATGTGGAATTATTGTGTCAACATTATTTTTATGGCTAATATGTTGTGATGATGCAGATTGCTGAAATGAGAATATTTTACCATTTTTAAACTTAAGAACCCCTTTTGAATAATTAAAGATGCATCCATATCCCCCCTTAGCATATGCTTTAAAACATGTGCTTAATATGTGTTTAAGAACACGTCCATAGATATCAGAGAATCAATATACGTAAGGATATAAACACAGGTGTAATAAACCAGAAGATAGAATATCTGGTTTGCCTTTTTTGTTAGTGTAGCATGATGGAATTTATAAATATATAAACATAAACTTATGGTGGTAACTGAATAAATTTGACTCAAAATTCATAAGGAGAAATTACTTGATTTCAGTTACCAACATTGAATTATGTTAGATGATTTTCAACTTACTGTTTTACTTTAGTTGTATAAAAATTGCCCTTGTAAAAGGAGCACCCATGTACTTTTGTCCATTTACTTCCATTCATTTAAGCATAAAGCCATCTAATCAGGTTCCTTTAAAGTAATTTACATAAAATATATAAGCTAAAACATTGCTCAACATGAAAAATATCTTTTTTAAGGGATGAAACATAAGTTCAGGATTTCTTAACAGAGTGACTTAGGCTCCTGTGGCATTTAGCTGTAAAGACTACATATTTGAGTGGAGTGGATTGATAGTATTCTGTTGTGTAATATGAGTATCTGCCTAGCGGCAACAAATTCTTTCTCCTAAACAAATTTTTTTTAGAGAAACATATATTTGATTACAGTACAGTTTAAAATAGGATGCTGGAATTTGGTGGTGTTTCTGATCTTCATTTGAGTATCATGAAAAATTTTTCTAGTTAATTTTCATTATTATAAAATGGTATGCTTCTGAATGCTTCCATGCTGTTGTTTTAATTGAGATTAATTTGATGATTATATATTGCAGAAGTTCGTTGATTTTTCTAGGATCTCTCTATCTGACATAATACTCCCTTATCAAAAGTCTTTGATGATTATGGAAGGATATATCTAATGAATACTGTTCCAAAGTAGAATTTTTTTAATCAGCTGTAACTAATGGAAATATAATATATGTCCACACATAAATATTAAGCAATTTAAATGATCCGAAAGGTCCATATCATCTTTAAAAAAGAGCATTTCAAAAATCTTATGGTGGCTGTCCTATTACCTCCTTAAAAACACAGGTTTATTTCACTTGACCACATACGAATATATATTTTTTATTTAGAGGTAAATGTTACATTAAGGTCATATGGCAAGATTAGCATATGATATTATACAGTCCTCTTAGTTTTTCATCCTTTATTAACAGTCATCTTTGGCTCTATTTCTCCTCTAATTGGAACATCATCTAGCCTTGGCAGTTGAACTATTCAATAGAACGATTAAATTTTTCTGACTGCTCTGAGCTGAATTGACCTGTTTTGACCTGTTTGTCACTGATCGTAACCTGACAGGCGCTAGCAGCCTGCAACGATTATGGCTTTTTGAGATGAATCTGACGCTGTGTTCTTTTGCTACAGCTCGTCACACGAGGAGACTGGGGCTTCTCACACTCTGTACGGCCATGGAGTTTGCAAATGGCCAGGCTGTGAAAGCATTTGTGAAGATTTTGGACAGTTTTTAAAGTAGGTTTCTTACCTTTTTCAGGGAGGGGGGTGGATTATGTGGGAGTGTTAGGCACATTGTTGTAAATAAACAAGACAAACCTGAAAGGAGGTAGTCAAAGTCCATCATCAGGCACACTGTGCTTTCTGTGTGTTCCAACAAGTGCGTGACCGAAGTCAGGCTAAGAAGGTGACCTTGTCTTTACATCTTCATCAAAATATTTTACAAATCATTCAATAGAGGTTTTTGAATGAATGGAAAATAGTAGCCTACAGTAATAGTGTCATTATTAGGAGACAAGTGCAGACTTCACTTAAATTTCCAAGTTTTTTTTTTTTTAAGATTTTATTCATTTGACAGAGAGAGACACAGCGAGAGAGGGAACACAAGCAGGGGGCGTGGGGGAGGGAGAAGCAGGCCTCCCGCTGAGCAGGGAGCCTGACCCGGGGCTCGATCCCAGGACCCTAGGACCATGACCTGAGCCGAAGGCAGATGCCTAACGACTGAGCCACCCAGGTGCCCCAAATTTCCAACTTTTTAATAAAAATTTTAAGTAAAATTACATGAGGAATCATAGAATATATATAATTTCAAACACATATTTTACGGGTTTATTTTTTTTTAATCACAAGCTTGCTATTCCTTACTTTAAATAATGATGTTTAACATACATATATTTAACAATAAGAGCGATGACATGAAAGTTAAAAGAGGCTAAAATTTTAAGAAATAAATCTATTTCATCTACATTGTTACTTATTGCCCTCAGAATCAGAGGGCAATGTGCATGGCTGTGTATTTGTATGGTAAATTACATGGCTTCTCTAGCTTAAAATAAAAATTTGGTGTATCCTTAATTTCTTCATGCAGTGATAAATATTTTTTTAATTTTAAGAGGTTCCTTTGCAAATGAGAATATCCATCTACTATGAAGCATTTTCCATGCACAATTCTGCTATACAAGAGATCTAAACAGAGAGCTACAGATAGGTTTATGGAGATGAGTAACTTCACAGGCTGAGACTCTTATGTTGTCATGGAGCAGCTAACAGGGTGAATGAACTGTTTCATGCTTCATCAACAATTAAGTTAATTAGCTCATTTGAAATTGCACTGCTTTGTTGCCAGGATGTTGGCAGAAACATCAAAAAGATGTGTTTACAAATGGTAGACTACAGGGTATAGAGTAAAAGCACCTTAACAACAAGGCGCAAGTACTTGGCACCATAATAACTTTATAACGGAATTACAGTAAGACTTCCACAAGGATTTTTTTCACTTTTTTCCATTTCTGACGAATGAAAAGAAAATTTGCTTCCTATATTACTTTGGCATTTGTAAATGGCCTTAAATAAAAATTTGCACTGCTGTTATACCAGAACAGTAGTGAGCTACCATTTTGTTGGGTATGAAAACTGATTCAACTGTTCTAGGCAAAGAGGGCATTTCAAATGTTAGGTAACTTTGCTCAAGTTTTCCTCTCTAAGAAAATAGCATTTGTTAAAACAAAGACAAAATATAGGGACATTAATTTTTAACAGCTAATTTCGTATTTCTTCATTCGAATATACTCATCCTTATCAAAATGTTATGTTATTCCTTATCATTAAGATTCTTAAGAGGACTGTTGCTACTATTTCTTAAATATGGTCATTTAAGCCATAGAACTAGCCCAGTCACCATTTTATTGCTCCAAGTTGTTCTTGCTGACAAAATTAAGAGTAAGTTTTTAAGAAAATATACATATTTTTCCTTCAGTGTCATTTCCTTTATAGCACATGGAAAGGAACACACTTATTCATCTCAAATATTTATATATATATTTATTACTAACAAACAGATGAATACGAACCCTCATTTTACCCTCCATGGTTCTTTTTCACATTCATGCTAGTATGTTTTAGAAACTAAGGGAAACTATAGGGGGGCGGGGGTAAAAAAAAGAAAGAAAGAAAGAAATTACAATTAAAAAAGCATTTCCTTTCAATTAAATACCAACTTTGGTTCCAAAGGCTATTTTTCCAACCCATTAACTTTATAGAGATGACAGAACAAATGACAGTAGATTGTAAGGTCTTTCTTTTAGTCCATTTTTGTTATGATATGCTTTAGGTTCTCTTACTCAGAGATCTGTGATAAATTCTGTTAATAGAGGTACTGCCTGGTGCTGCAAAAAAGTATGTATTAGATACATTTCTCTTCCGGTATTATCTTCTTTCTTAACATGTGTGGGAAATTTAAGAAGACATATTTTATTAAGTTAATCAAGTTCAGTTATTCAGAGAAAAGTTTAGTGTCTGTGTGGAAAGTGAAATGAGGAAGACACCACCACTAATGTGAATTTTCTTGGAAAGAAGATTTTGCTTTTCTTTTGTAATACTGGGGAGAATTGAGTCTAAGGAGAAAAGCATGTCAAACAAGTCAAAAAGCTGTGAAAGGTTTGTAGCTCCCAGTTTTGTTTACTCTTCTCCAGAAACTTTATAT